ATTTCAAGGAAGCTGGCAGAAGAAGTTGTGTAAAATCGGTACCTCCCGTGTGATGAAACTGTGTGGGACATGCATTGAAAATTCTCGTTCTATTACATAATCAACGGAAACAAACTCCTACTAGACGGCTCTTCTGCCGTAGCCACCGCATTCTGGGTTTGCACAGCATTCATACATGTTCTTCCCACAATCTTATTTTGAACACGGGCGGTCAGCCGAAACTGCACGCGTGGGCACACACACACACACACGAAGGCGTACATATATGGTTTAGAAGATATGAATAGTCAAAAAGGCAAAAATTCTCATGGATATACGTACCGATTTCGGTCTCTTGATCGAACTCGCTAGACACCTATTGGTGAACCATCACTATCTTGCATTGTTGTTGAGTTCTCAGAGCTAGAAGTGTTGTTCGTAAACATTTCGTAGCCAAGCTAGACAACATTATCCCCGATGTAGCGAATGTTTCATCGCCCAGATGATTGCGACATTTAGCCATCATTTTACATATTGACACCTCCTTCATTTCCTACAATTTACTACTTTTGGAGTTCTCATCGCTTAGGAACTCTGCCACTTGTCTGCATCATTGGTTTATACAAACGCATTCCACGGCGCACATTTTGAAGACATCAAAGAACAACGTTAACTGCTCGCACAATACGCTTACGCCATATAATCACTTGCTTTCCAACATTGGTTGTATGTTNTGTTGTATGCACTTTGAAGGCGCAAAATGCATACCGAACATGGACACACCAGCACTCAGACTATCCACAAAAGCTTGCAACTTACCTGGATCTTCACTTAGTAGCACAACGTCGTCTACATACTCTAGATCAGGCAGTCTGCCACGGGAGTAAATCGACGCCGTTATTCTCGCACGAGGAGAGGGCTGTTTCCATAATAAAATCTACAATAAACTTAAATAGACAAAGAGAGGGCAACCCTGTCGAACACCACTTTCCGTGGTGAACTTGGGTGAAAAAGTGCCGTAAGCTCGGACTCGGCTTCGGTTATTAGCATAAAGCGATTGTAATATTGCGATTAACTTCTGGGGCACACCCTTCAGGGAAAGTCAGCGCCAAAGTTTAGAGCAATCGACTGAGTCGAAAGCCGCTTTCAGGTAGAGGAAAATGGAAATGGTGGGTCCACGAAAAGAGTCTGTGCTCTAGGATTTGACGAAGTGTGAAGATGTAGTCAATAAAGCCTCGACCAGGTCTGAAACCAGCCTGGTTCTCACGCGTGCGGCAGACAATCGACGGAGTATGATACCAGTGAGAAGTTTAGAGGCAATATTGATTAAACTAATGCCTCGGTGATTTTCGCAGGAAGATCTATCACCTTTCTTGTAAAGCGATATGATCACCGATTCACACTATTCAGCTGTAACCTCATCTCTCTCCCACACTGAACCAAGGTTGGACCTCCATCCTTAAAAACCGATGGGGACAGCTCGTCGGGGCCGGAAGCCTTATGCCGTTTAAGGTAACTTATTTATCAGGTAACCTCCATTTCAGATGGACTGATGTCAACTGGCAATAGTTGCACGGTTCAAACGGGTGGGAGGAGGTCTTATGTAGACCGGGACCATCTGAACTGTGCCTTAAAATGTTCTGTCCAACGTTCAAGATGACATTCCTGAATTTGAATCAGTGTAGTCAGACTCCTTGATTACCTCACGTCTGCTTTCGTCGGTCCTGTACTCCTCATTAAACAAACAAGATCGCGACTATTGCCGGTAGCCGCAGCCTTTTTCATCTCTCTGCACTTCCCTACCCACCACTTCTCGCGATGATTCCTCAGACTCTTGATGAGTTGGCGTTTAAGGGATTTGCGCGTTTTGTCGTATTTTTAATCCGAAGGAATGGCCCTACGAGCGTCTAGCAGGGTAACCGAGGTCGCGGAGATCCATCATTTTTTATTTGATCGTGCACCAGAATTTGCCGTTGTTTTTATCGACGTTTGGATCGCCTCTTTGATTGCCGACCAGTGCTGAGTCCTCCGAATGACGACTGAGCTGAAAGGCGATCTGCTAGTTCCACTGTGAAGGCCGATTTGCAACTGTCGGTGATACTGTATTGTGTTTTCGGCGGCTTTTCTGTGGTTGTTTATTAAGCGTAGGGAGAATCTCGCTCGTAGCAGAGCATGGTCTGTGTCCACGATTGTTGACCAGTAGGAGCGGCATTCTTCAGTGGATCCTCTCCAGCTGATGATGATGTGATCGATTTGAGTGCAGCGTTGTGAAGAAGTTTTCGGTTTCCATGTAAGGCGGTGGCGTTTTTTGTGTGAGAAGTTTGTGCTTGACAGGAACAGTCCGTGGCCAGCACAAAGTTGGAGTAGGCGTTCTCCGTTATCAGCCTTGTTGGCTGGGATTGCATGCGAACCGCCAAGTAAACTCTCTGATTCGTCCAGGGATCCCACTTGAGCATTGAAGTCTCCAGCGACTACCACAATGTCCGTTGACCGAGCACTTCGGAGCAGTTGAGAGAGGTCCTTGTAGAATTCATCCATCATCTCTGGTGAACTGCCATCTGTCGATGCATACGCGGATACGACGAATAAGCATCGACGCTTCGTTCTGTAGATGTTGACTCGTACTGAACCATCCAGACGTACGGCGCATAGTTAACCGGAATCCAATCGAGGAGTGACCGCTCGGCCTTAACACTTAGCGCAATCCCAACGCCAGCCACACCGCGAGCTTTGATGTCGAATCGCCTGATACACGGAGAGTGAACCGTGAGGATGAGGTTAGTTCGGGAGAACGGAGGGAGATGACTGAAATAGGATCTTGTATGCGCGTTTTGGAGACACAGTATACGTCTAAATGGAAGGTCTCAAAGGTTCTAGCTAAGGCGACCTGTTGACCCATCTGGAAAAGTGTGCGGACATTGAGTGTGGCTAAGTGAAAAGGGGATTTTGGTTTCAAAAATCTGGTAGCCTCTGAGTGGTTGACCTTATTAGTTGAACGCTGAGTGATTTGCGATGGGTATCGCAAACAGGAGGCACCTGGGAATATTCGGGATCGAGAAGAACGACTAGACAGATAGGAAAGATGGTTTTCCAGATGGGTACCTAAGATTTTAGGGCACGGCAGCCCACACTGACGAAGGGGTTTAGTTAGGATGCACGCGATGCATCAGACCAAACGAAGCCTCGGTAGGGTGACAACTGCATTTCCGTGAACGCCAGAAGTCACTGTTTCAGTTAAATCACTACTGATCAGTGAGAGAGGAAATAGGTAACTTCGATCCGGAATACGACCAGTGCAACTATACCCAGCGTGCGACGCATGCCAGTAGGGTGGGTTAAACATGTCAGTTTACTTTTTACAACCGTTAATCTTGCAGCAGACAGTACCACATGCACACACATCACAAGTGAATGAACGAAGGTCGTCTGAGAACTTTCCCATATCATCATCATCATCGTACAGCGAAATACAGGGAAGAGAACTTCACCGATCGTTGTTAAACTCGTGCTGCCATCCTATGTAGCTCGTTGGGTCAGAGAGGTGCACAAGCCATCACACCACGTCAAGGTGCAGTCTCGTTGTGATGATCGTCTGATTGCATCCTGTTGTACTTTGTGCATAGGGATCATAGTCGCGGCTGGTGAGCTATCGATTTGTGCATGTTTTCCCCTCTTTGAGAGTGTGTGTGGAGGGTTCTCAATTTTGTTTCGTTTAGTGATCGAGAGAATGAATAGGAAGACGCCAAACAGGATTGAACATAAAACCAAGCGAGACCAAAGTTCATTCCACATGGTTTGATGTATATGCTATCGGAAACACATGATAATGATGCTGGTACGAACGAGGGGGCG